GCTTCAGCACTTATTCGAAAGCTCTAATCTTCTAGCTTCTAACTAGCCTTGGACATTTGCAGAAAGTTAATTATGAAGAGTTATGAATGTTTGAATGTCGAAAACTCGCGTGTGCACAAAAAACGGAACAACGGGACGATTTTTTGAAATATTGAACATCCGCAACATTTCAAATACTTTTTTGAAAGAAAACTATTTGAATTTTTAAAATTTTGGTGTCCGGTTCCATGAGAGCGCCGACGAACGAAGATATAAGTTTTCAAATAAGGACGTAAATTACTACTGCATATCCAGTTTTCCGGCTTATACAAAAAGGAGAAGGAAAAGGAGAAACGGGAACCAAGACTCGAGGGATCGAGAAAATGAAAACCAAGCCTCACTTCTGCCTGATTCGAACTCCAACCTACCCATGATCGAGCTTTAAATGAAACAATGATCTCTTTCGTTCGAAAATTCGGAAGTTTTTCGATTTCCTCCATGAAATGGAGGATAAAATATGGCGTGTGAAGAAAATATTGTGTTATTTTCGGGATTTCTTCAGGAATAAAGAGAAGAAGCCATGTACACACTTCAACTTTATTGGACAAAGACGTTGATACACACAGAAATACACCGTAACACTAAAAAACACATGTCCAATAGGGGGGGGTCGCAAAAAATTTGGAATTTGCGCAACGCAAGGTTGACCCTGCCTAGAAGTAGGCGAGGGTGGTCGTTGGATGTCGAACTTCGGTAAAAATTACCTGAAACATTTGATGGAACCAAATGTGCTTGAAACAGTTGAGAAGACTGCTACCGAATTGAGCGTATATGATTATGGTTTCAAACAACTCAAAGAGCACGGAAAAAGGAGGTGTCGCGAAAAATCGCGGTTCCGTAGGGCCGTCTGCCTTTCTTCTCAATCTTTCATTCAATGAAAACGACCCGTGTTTGTTCGGATTGTGAGTTGTGAATGTAGAATGGATTCTTCTCAATAACCTACGAACTTCGGGTGGGTAGTTCGATCACGACTAGGGTCAACAAAATTTCGCAAAGATGAAACTGCGCGAGGAGAAGGTTGTTCGGCCTGTTACGCGGTCAGCAGCAGGCGCAGCCTTTCGGTAAATAGCTTTAAATTTCTAAAAATTCTATGTTGGTATTGTTTTTATTGGAGCTGAAGACGAACCCTACACATTGTGGACTAAATAACATTGTTTGGTGGGATTCTTTACTGGAATGTGGGTTGAGCGACATGCCAGCTTCTTCCGTGGGATGTAGAACTCAATTAGACTTCAGATCTTGACTTGGTCGCTTCATAACAGCTTCTTTTTCTGGGTTTAGGAAGGCGGCAGTGAGGAGGTAGGCCTGCATTGGGTCATTTCCGCGATAGAAAACCCATCTTTTCCGGCTAGTTCTGACTATCGAAGGGAAGCATTGTATTCTACAGACTATCCTTGTACTTAGCCCAACCCACATTTCGCTGGATACCTAGAACTGGGGAATCGCCGAATGGTCGGACACATCTTCATCCATGACAATACTTCCACTATTTCTGACTGTTGGAATCTGGTACTCAAAATGAGGTTTCCATTTGACAAAACACTTCACAGGGTCCACAACATCATTTCCAGGAAGACAGAAATTTCATTCGTCGCTGAGGACAAAGTTTTACTTCTCGCTATCGGCCCATGTTAGCCGTTGATGCAACAACATGTTCCTCGTACTAAATAATCGCTTTGAGGATTTTTCACCCCTGAGGCATGCACACTTTCGCCTTGATCTTCACCAAGCTTTTAGGGCTGCTAACTTTGCGTTTCTCTGAAGCTCACAAGCTATTGAAGCAGTCTCTGTGCACCGTAGCGACTTACGCAGAACTTATCAATTTGGTCCTGATGTCTGTGCAGTAACTAGGAAAGGCCAATTGGTCACTTCGGCCATTTGCAACGAGGTGTATACTGATGAGCCCGCCTTAAGCCGGCTTTGGGACCTGCAGAACAATTTAGTGAAGGAATTGATGAAGAAGAAGAGCGCAGCCGTAGTGGCCCTGACTCACGGGCAGGGGCTCGCTTTGCGAGTTTACTCTTCTGCTCTTCTCAAAAAGAAGCTGCAAAGATATCCGACACTGCAATATCAAAGTTCTGAAGTTGAGAGGTAGTTCCACCTCCCAAACACGGATATCTCATCTCTTTGTCCAAAAAAAGTCTCAAAAAGTGTTACAAGCGCCATGGGTCCTAATGTGCAGACAGAGCCTACCTTTGAGGACCTGGCGGCAGACTCTTCATGCAGATGAGTATAAAGCTGGTGAATTACCGTTGTCAATCACAGCTGTTCTTGTTCTTGTAAAAGTAGAAAAAACCGGCGACAAGGAGTCGATCCCATGACCCTGCAACCCTGCAGGGTGAGTTCGAACCACTTCCAATGCACACTTTCTCAAGAATTCGTTCCTGCACTTGACACTTGCACGGTTGACCATTTTAGATTCGCCACACTCATGTTATTATTATAAATTTGCTCACTGCAAGATCGGAAACAACTCATTCCTACAGTCGATATCTCGAAGTCTGATTGGGCGTGTCACCGGAAATGACGTGGCAGCCACCGCACTTGATAGATGTTGTGTGGATAAAATACTCCGCCAGATATCAGCAAAGCGTGTTGGAAGCAGCTTATCCGCGCAACTTCTATCAAGTGCGGTGGCTGCCACGTCATTTCCGGTGACACGCCCAATCAGACTTCGAGATATCGACTGTACGTGTTCACACCAGGGTATAGAGTGCTCCGCAGAATCCACACGAAAGGGGTGCGAGCGGTGCTAGCCTGGAGGTTCCTAAGTGCAGAATCAGCAGTGTAGTGGTAGCCTCTATAAAAAATGGTAGCCGGTTGTTCCGTTGCAGAGGATCCCGAAAATTCATTTTGTGTCTCGCCATGGAGCACGCTGTCTTTTGTCGGGTTGTCATAATTAGCATGACGGAGGCCTGAAAGTGACTCAGTATAAATGAAGAAGTGTTTTACCCTGCTATTAAACTTTAGGAGCACCAGATAGGCTGGCTCAACAGGCTGGTTGTGGACCAGCAAGGGAGGAGTAGAAAAATCACTGTCCCGGGCTGCACAACAAAATTAATATTCACATGGAAACGCGGCAAATGGAAGTCCTACAGAAATGTCTGAAATGTTCCATGATAAATAAATAGAAGTGAGCAGTTGTCAACAATCCTCACCATCTTCAAAATTCTATGTCCTCCACCATCGCTGACGAATTTAAAGAGGTCTACCCATGCTTTCGTCAGAAGTAGCTGCATAGTTGGTCGATCCAATCAGGAGTGGACAGGTCCTAGGGACCGTGACTGCTTCTATAGGATCCCTGTTCTAGTGCACCTTGAGCATCATTGCTTTGGTCCACGACCCCAGTGCACCGTTTTCTGAAAGGTGAACCAGCTTGCCCGGGCTATTGAAGTCGACTGAAGCTTATCGGATATCAAATCATAGGTTGACCAGACCCTAGAAAGGTGAAGCGGTAGTTCAGGAGAATACAGAACAGGCTTTACTAGAAATATTTATTACTTGATATGAGAAGATCCAAGGCAAGGAGAGAATGTAATAAGCGGAGTGGTATCCTCACGGTTGACGAATGGCAAGCCGCCAGGGCACCTGGGGGTCAGCTGCTGTCTTCCGTACCGTAATCCAAGGCGCCATAGGTTGCACGCCTTCCATCGATGACAAGAATGTAACGAGCAGGATTAATGGTATACTGTTTGTGGAGGTTGGGACAAAGGTAAAAGATAACGTGTGGTTCAGTCGGCTGTTCCCTAATGGCGTTTTACCAGCCATGCTGCCAATCGCAGCAGCGTTACATCTTGGTTTCAGTAGAACTGGTCGCCTTCGCATGATTTTCGACAAATGCCGACTTGCCCGGAATTGAAGAGGAGCAGGACCTCAAAAGATGACATACTGTAGTGCACCCCCTATCTTCTTCGATCTTGGACCTCTCTATCGAGTTTGGGCGAAGCTCAGAAGTGCATATGAAGGTAACGAAATCGAGGGTTTGGATGAGCTTTAACGTCGCATCGATCGATCATCACGCCAATTCTTCTGACTTCATGCATGCAAAAGGCTAGTGTAATATTAGGTTGTCTCATAAATAGTGTCGCTTTTTTTCAACCAAAAATTTTCATCTAAATCCTCATGCTTTTACATCGTTCATATACCATTCGAAAGAGAATTGTCTGCTCTACAAGATGCTATGTTCCTCTTCCACCTATGTTCCAGGGTTTTCAAATTTTAGGCCTGCGAAATGGGAGGTCCAGCCGACAAAAATTGACCAAACCGACAACTAGCTCTAACTTTATTTTCCCTGGGGAGAAATCAATCAATGATGTACCTTCTACTTACTTATGACCTCTTTAAAACCTTCGCAGAGCAGTCTTTAGCCTGGTGTGAACACGTACAGTCGATATCTCGAAGTCTGATTGGGCGTGTCACCGGAAATGACGTGGCAGCCACCGCACTTGATAGAAGTTGCGCGGATAAGCTGCTTCCAACACGCTTTGCTGATATCTGGCGGAGTATTTTATCCACACAACATCTATCAAGTGCGGTGGCTGCCACGTCATTTCCGGTGACACGCCCAATCAGACTTCGAGATATCGACTGTAGGAATGAGTTGTTTCCGATCTTGCAGTGAGCAAATTTAATAACATTGAGTGTGGCGAATCTAACATGGTTATTTGTAAAGAGATGTATTATATAACCGTGCAAGTGTTTTGAATGCAGGAACGAATTCTCGAGGAAGTGTGCATTAGATGAGGTTCGAGCTCACCCTGCAGGGTTGCAGGGTCATGGGATCGACTCCTTGCCGCCGGTTTTTTCTACTTTTACAAAAACAAGAACAACTGTGATTGACAACGGTAATTCACCAGCTTTATACTCATCTGCATGAAGAGTCTGCCGCCAGGACCTCAAAGGTAGGCACTGTCTGCACATTAGGACCCATGGCGCTTGTAACACTTTTTGAGACTTTTTTTGGACAAACAGATGAGATATCGTGTTTGGGGGTGGAACTACCTCTCAACTTCAGAACTTTGATATTGCAGTGTCGGATATCTTTGCAGCTTCTTTTTGAGAAGAGCAGAAGAGTAAACTCGCAAAGCGAGCCCCTGCCCGTGAGTCAGGGCCACTACGGCTGCGCTCTTCTCCTTCATCAATTCCTTCAGTAAATTGTTGTGCAAGTCCCAAAGCCGGTTTAAGGCGGGCTCATCAGTAGGAGGGCTCGTTGCAAATGGCCGAAGTGACCAATTGGCCTTTCCTAGTTACTGCACAGACATCAGGGCCGACTTGATAAGTTTTGCGTAAGTCGCTACGGTGCACAGAGACTGCTTCATAGCTTGTGAGCTTCAGAGAAACGCAAAGTTAGCAGCCCTAAAAGCTTGGTGAAGATCAAGGCGAAAGGTGTGCATGCCTCAGGAGTGAAAAATCCTTAAAGCGATTATTTAGTACGAGGAACATGTTGTTGTAGATAACCTGAAGCATTTGAAGCCACGGAATATATTTCTTCTCTATCTTTTATTAAAACTGTGTAGAAAGGGTGCAAATCAGCCCACCCACCCCGTAGATCCCCCTCACCCTCTGAAAACGGGACTCTCATATGCAAGAGCTACCCCACCAAAATGCATCCCTGTACGGCATGAGCGCCCTTGCTGCAGTGGTACAGCCAGTGCTTCCCATTTTTCCCTGTTGAGCATTTTATGGCCGATTTAATACAATCTTCCTCCCTTAGAATGGCCTGCCAGCGCACCATATTTAAAAAGGTCTGTAAAAATTAAACCCTTCTACCAAATTTTATGCGACAGGTTCACCCTAAATCACCCATGACCTAGTTAGGCGCTCGAGAGGTTCATAGCCCTTGAGCAATGGTGAGCCTTCCACAGGCGAGTGGCTATTCATGACGTGCATTTTTGATTCAAAAGGTCAGTTCAGTAGTCCCATGAAGATCCAGAACAGCATTCTTCAAGATCTCACAATACTAATCCCAGGATCTGCGCGGGCCTTTCATGGCCAGCTTGCGAAAGCCTCAAGTGAAGAACGAGTTTGGGGAGCGTTAACCTCACTCTCCACGGAACTGTCATCGGCGCGATACCAACAATTAATGAACAGACAGCCGTTGTGACGTTTTGAGGGTCCGATCGACAGAATCAAAAATGAAGATCGTGACTTCCTTCGGAAAGGATGCACACGACGCAAATACGAACCACATAAGCCATTTCCATGGACCAATAGAAAATGACTAGAATTTTCAAATCTTTATTATCATTGCATATTAAAGTTCATTGCATTCTCATGAGCATAGGCAATTGATGACTAGGACCTGCTTCTAACTTGGTCAGCATGAACCGGGCTACTACTACTGAAAGCAGCACACAAAGCACGGGACCCTGCCCGAGACAGAAGCAAACCATAGACACAAATATAGTACATGAATGGAGCAAAAAATGTAATTTGTTCGTATTACAAGATGAGTTGATCGCCCTTTAGAAGCATTTACGGTGAACGATCGAGGGTCCGGACTCATCGTATTCCTGCTTGGAGATCCACATCTGTTGGAAGGTGGACAGGGAGGCGAGGATAGATCCTCCAATCCATACGGAGTATTTGCGCTCAGGTGGAGCAATAATCTTGATTTTCATCGTGCTTAAAATAAATCGTTTCATTAAAATCTAAAACAGGCGACAAAAAATTAAAACAGCTAGGCTTACCTGGGAGCTAGAGCAGTGATTTCCTTCTGCATACGATCGGCAATACCAGGGTACATGGTGGTTCCGCCGGACAAGACAGTGTTGGCGTACAAGTCCTTACGGATATCGATATCGCACTTCATGATTGAGTTGTAGATGTTCTCGTGAATACCAGCAGATTCCATACCCAAGAAGGAAGGCTAGAAAAGAAGCAATAGAGACAACTCAGTTAAACGTAAGAAAAAGTAATGGGGGAGCTGACCTGGAAGAGAGCCTCAGGACAACGGAAGCGTTCGTTTCCAACAGTGATGACCTGTCCGTCAGGAAGCTCGTAAGACTTCTCGAGAGGAAGAGGATGAAGCAGCAGTGGCCATTTCCTGTTCGAAGTCGAGAGCAACGTAACACAGCTTCTCCTTGATGTCACGCACGATTTCACGTTCGGCGGTCGTGGTGAACGAGTAACCACGCTCGGTGAGGATCTTCATCAAGTAGTCAGTAAGATCACGTCCGGCAAGGTCAAGACGGAGGAATAGCGTGGGGAAGAGCATATCCCTAAAATCACACATCCAAACATTTACCCTTGACAGCGGAAAACACACTAATGCAGGTTCAAGACTGACCTCATAGATGGGTACAGTGTGGGTGACACCATCTCCCGAGTCCAAAACGACACCAGTGGTACGTCCGGAGGCGTACAGGGAGAGCACAGCCTGGATAGCGACGTACATGGCGGGGGTGTTGAAGGTCTCGAACATGATCTGGGTCATCTTTTCTCTGTTGGCCTTGGGGTTAAGGGAGCTTCAGTCAAGAGGACGGGGTGCTCTTCTGGGGCAACACGAAGCTCATTGTAGAAGGTGTGGTGCCAGATCTTCTCCATATCATCCCAGTTGGTGACGATACCGTGCTCGAATGGGGTACTTCAGTGTAAGGATACCTGGAATCATCAACATTGACCGGAAATCCACTACAAAAGCAGAAATGCTTTGTCAGAGGGAAGAGATACGCACCTCTTTTGGATTGTGCCTCGTCTCCCACGTAAGAATCCTTCTGTCCCATACCAACCATGACTCCTTGGTGACGAGGACGTCCAACAATGGACGGAAAGACAGCACGCGGAGCATCATCTCCTGCGAAACCGGCCTAAAACAATTTCGAATGAGTGGAACTGATCTGAGGACTCAGCCACCTATGTGTACATACAAACATCAGATGGTCACTCTAAACTCTAACCAGAGATGAGATTAATTTTAAAACGGTGCTAATGGAGTGCGCAATTTGAATATGGTTTCAACAAAGTGCAAAGGACCGTCCATCAACCGGCCATCTGTGTACGATGGGCGTTTTATGAGCGACAGCAGCAGATGTGGCGCAGGAAGTCAGACCCAACCAGCAGCACTCTAGTCGCGGAACCAACGCAACTGTGTTTGCCGAGCCGACCTCTTCCAAGAAAAGCTCAGGGTGTAATGCCGCGCACTCAGCAAATAACGACCTCTCCTTCACCTCCTTCTGCTGCTCCCCCCGAATTAGCAGAAACGCTCAATGCACTCGAACATCACCCATTTCAATGAATGATGGTACAACCCCAGTCGATCGATTACACCACGGCACAAAACTACCCGAGGACTGTCATCAAGAAACGTCCGAGAACCAATCGGCCTTGACTAACGCAACCTCCCTTCACACATATACAAAGAACGCGGGACGGCCGGCGATCTATCCCATCCCGCTACTCCTCACCCTATTTTCCAGTGCATGCGCAATGACTCTGTATTCCCACAAAAACAACGGTACACACATACACTTCGGCCATAGACCGTCTTTTCGCATTCCTGATCGGCTTCCAAAGCGTGCGCTGACAGAAACAAGCAAACATAGGCTCGACAAGAGAAGCTATGGACAGTGTGTGTATCGTCCCAAACCTGACCATTCAGCATACTACTACTGACTGTCGACAAGAAACGATGGAGGAAATGCATCACACTTTGGCTCAATGCCTCCTCAGCCGTCCTCAGACTATTCAAGTGGACGCTCGCGCGAAGAACGACGATAAATGTGTTTTGAGGTCGGACCTGCGCGCCGTAGCGTGCAGACCGCACAAGGAATTTGAAAATGGAAAACGCGCCAAGAAACAGCCCAACCCTATCAGTATCAGAACATGCTCTCGACATGGATATACATGAAGATTGAAAAAGAAATCACACTTTACAGAGTACGTACACGATGCGGAAGAAGAACAACCTATACAATACCACAAACTAATCGTAACATTGAAATGCTCAGTCACTAGCAAAAAACGAAAGCAGAACCAAAACTTCGAACCCTTGCCCTCAGTTTGACCCAACCCAACAAATGTTCCATATGATTTGCAATGTCCCAACCAAAGTACCCCATCAGTTCCATATCCCAACAGCTTTTTTGCAGTCATTAGTTGATAAAGCGGTAATAGAATATAGGCCAGATGATTACCTTGCACATCCCGGATCCATTGTCGACTACAAGAGCAGCAACTTCGTCGTCACACATGATGATGAGTGTGCTGTTGGCGGCTAACGAACTAGTGTCCGCCCGCCTACCATCGCGCTTTTATATGCGCGCGACCCGCCTGCACGCGACGCGTCCGCCCCGCGCATTGCCATTGGCTGGCGGCATCAACTCGCAAGCATGCTATTGGCAGGCACTACGCATTCGGTATGAGTAAGATGGCTGTGCGTAGGTGAACCTAGGAGCACCTGTTTCATTTCGGTATCAGTTGCTACTGTCAGATCGTGGCGAAACAGACATCTGGTAGTTGGCGAGGTGCCAGCGCTGTGCTGTTTGGCGCAGATAACCATCTGTGGTCGTAGTGGTTCGCGTTTATGGGCATTCTAACAATGATGGGATTAATTACAGATTGGTTGGTTTGTTTGAACCCATTCCAAATTGAGATGGGATGTGGTCAAGGATTCGATTGGTGGAGGTCAAGACAGGCGCGCTGACCAATCTCTTGATGTCTCGCGCAATGGCTAATGCCCATCCTACTTTCACTGATCGTCAACCGATTTCGGAGTTCTTTTGAAGATTCTGTTCAGTTGTACAAATCGGTAGAAAGACTTGGGCAGGTTGCTGTAGCGCTGCATTGCGGTCGAATCTCCATTTTTGAACGTCTGGCGCTTTCTGAGCATTACTATACCTCGAATAGATCTACCACAGTGCTAGATCATTTACTTTTCTTTTTTTTCAGTGCACTTCTCTTTTTTTCAGTACTAGCTTGTGCTTTGGTATCGTAATGTACGCGTAGTGTGTGTAACACAGTACGAGGATAGAAGTGCGTTGGTTTATCCACGCTCTCGACTTTGGGCGGCTTTTGATCGGATGCGAAGCCACCCTGAAGGACGACGATGAGAGCACCTCGAGTCAACAAAGTGCTCATGGAGGAGGCCCGAGTGATTGCAAGAGCAACGCGTTCCAAGAATCTTGCTAAACACACATCGCTAAGAGAACGCGATGAAGCACTCCGCCGTGGTTTAGTGTTTGAGGGCAGTTTCACGACGACGACAGTCCGACCGTCTCATCCCCACCTACACATTGAAACATTGAAGAGCACCAAGTGCGTGCCGCATATCTTTCAAGAAACCCCGGTAACTCCTACCCTGAAATTTTATAGATAAGGCGCCTAATAGTTAAAGAGTTGTCACGATTACTACTTAATCCTACTTGCTTCATGGTGAACTTAGAGTATGAACATGCTCACGAAAGCGATTGTTCCAAAAAAAAAGAAAAACTTGGGAAAAATTTTGATTGCCTTAAAATATGCAGACTTACCCGTCCTTCGTTTTTTTTTGTAAACTCGCTCTTGTTCAGAAGATTTTAGGGTATATGAAAAATTGTTGAGTTGCTATAATGGATCAGGCCAGAAGGCAATATTCTATGCACTGAGGTTTTCAAATTTAGCTCCATTCTGTTTTGATCGCAACAGATTTCGTGGCCCTCCCATCGTGGCCCGTGGACCGTCGGATTAAATTTTCACGGCCGTAGACGGTGCAGGAAATAATGTAAAACTACCAAAGCCATGGGCTATGGATAGAAGCGCTGAACTTAGATCACATAGTAACCCATTTAAAACATGCGATTGCCCTCAATAAGGCCTCAGTCTCTGCGGCGATTTTGAGCTGAGACATGCTTCACCTTCGGGTAACGCTTTTGTCGCGTTTCATTCTCAATTCGTGACAGATGTCTGATGAAGAACAGACGGTCAGATTTCAAAGAGCCGAAGAAAAGCCTTTGATTCTATGATGAACATTCTTTGATAGCATTGTTATCCTGAGTATGTACATACAAGCGCACTGAAGAACACTTTATTTCGTGCCTTAAGAAAAACTTTATTTCCCAACTGCTGCTCTCAACTTGCTAAACCGAGCCTAAGCTAAGCGTTACTAAGCTCTCGAAACCAAGCGACAAGTTAAGTACGTCTCAGGTATCTAGCCGCTCATATAGGCCTAGCCAAACCTTGCAGGGCGTTCTACTTTTACGATCCTATAGGTGAAACAATCATGGTCTTGCCTGTAACAGTGTCCCCGGCCCTGCTGGAGCAACTTGAGTTAGGCTACATTACAGTAGTTTCTAAGCATTATTGAATTAAAGCAGCCTTGACAAGCATCAGCAAGCACTTCTGGACTTTTGGACCTCTTATCAGCCCAACAGAGTCTTCAAAGCTCTATCTCATCCGGATTTCCGCTGTACCGCAAATTTTCCAACGCCACATTCCTTAGCGTTATCATCGGAAAGGATCGTTCTCAGGATACATTCCGTGGATTTGACTATGTGGGAGATGATGTATTCATGGCGAAATGAAGATGAATAATTTGCTGAGTCAAACACCCGATGCACAATTCGACTTGTCATTGGCATGCGGCACTTTCAGTTCCTAGAAAACGCTTGATTCATGCCGCTAAATGACAGAAATGTTGAACAAAAACTTTTACGCTAAACGTCTAATTACGTACATCGTCTGTAATGATCCTACTCATTCCAATATTAGTTCTATGAAGCATACTCTTCCAGGTATCCGGTAGCTTCTATTTGCCTTATAACCGGTTTGCGCTGAGTTCTCTAGTAGCTTCATCGTGGTGGTCCCTCCCAGTTGTTCCTCGCTAGAACCCTGAAGAATCCGCAACTTTTGATCTCACAAGCATATTTTACGGATAGTTGGTCCCATTTCAAGGATTTCCGATTCTTTTGGAAATGTTTGGCCAAAAAAGTTTAAAAAATTCTATTAAAAAATTCTTAAAAATTTCCCAACATACCTAGACAACTGAAAACTTGCTCCTTATCACTCTTAGTTAAGTGTATCAACTGGGAAAAAATTAGAACAAAAGCTCGAGTTCTGTAAGTTACGTCCGAAAAAGTGAAAACACGGTACTGTACATTCATTTTCAGCAGTGAGAAGCTGTAACTGAAACTGCTGAGCCATTGTCTGTAAATCTGTTAATCGTGATATTTGCTCAGAAATTAGCACCTGTGCCCGCGTTCACTCCTTTGGATCTCTCAATGGGGTCATCTCTATAATGAGGTAAATAGCCTGTGCCGCCCTTATTCTCACACACACCACAATCCTCTCAAGAGACTCGGCGTCAAAATTCCGAGACTTCGATACGTGTGTGTGTGTATGCGGGCAGTGGTGAGTGTAGACAAACCGTGAGTCAGTTTTCGATTGCCTTTTATCGTCGATCGGCGGGGGTGGGCACGGGGGGGGAGGTAGGGGAGAGAACAACGGAGAGGAGAGAATGACGGAAGCTCAAGTACGCCAGAAAACACTATGCACCTCAGCCTTTTGTCCCACCGTGTCTGCGCGTATTTAGTCTTTAGCGACGTAAATATTTTTGTAATTAAGTGTTCCGTAATCTTGAACCGCGCGTACAAAATCGTGCGTGAGTTGTTTTGTGGCTGGAAAAACCAGTCCTCAGCGATAATTATTAGGCACATACGAGTCGAAGTCGGAGAGGGTGCATCTTGAAATCGATTTCGGAACGTCTAGAATGGGAAAACGCTGTAAAGACCTGCCTGGGCCACCATCTAAGGTGGCCCGCTATTTTTGCGAGAATGACTTGAAATGAAGCCAAATGAGTTTGGGCTACAAAAGTGCATTTATGTCTGTACCTTTCGTGAATAAAGACAAGGATCTTGCTGGAGGCCTTCCCCTCTCCCCCCTCCCCGCCAATTCATCCAGTAGAGCCCAACATGCTCAATGTTATTCACTGCCCGCTTTTTTTAACCCACGTGAAGCTCTTTACCGTGCTATTACTTTCCTCTTCCTCCCGTGAAGGTGCACACCTTCGAGTGTATTGAACTAAATAAATGAAGAAATGGCTCTATCGCAATATACGGGGGCACTATGGTGGCAATGCGCTCAGAATCGCTAAAACATGTCTTTTTTGTCACAAATGCGTCTGAGCCTCAGGCGTGGGAGAAGTGACCCTACGGTGCCTCAGCTTCTTCACTTTCCCCGAAGCTCCTGCCGCATCTTAGGCTTAGTCCTAGAAGATGCCCCGTATATTGCGATAGCGCCTGAATAAAATAAATAAATAAATAAATAAATAAATAAATAAATAAATAAATAAATAAATAAATAAATAAATAAATAAATAAATAAAGAGATGTTATGAAAGCCCGCATATGTGCGTTAGTCTTGCGCTATAACGTAGTGTAATATGGCAGTATCATTCTTCCTTCGCAACGTATACTCACTACCTCACTGTAGCCCGTGTGTTTGCACAGAGCTATCGTGAAGCTAATTTTTTGGCGGCTTTGGGATATATGGGGTTCTATAACCTGGAAAACGCTAAAGAATTCGTTCTATGCGATAAGTAGGCCAACAAAGGTCGGAGGCAAATCCGCCAGAGATCTCTTGACGTCGTTGCATATCTGTGCCGCATCACTCTATCGACATACGATCACTGTCACCTCGTTAATGTAATCGGAGGGGTTGGGGTGGTGGGTAGAATTGGAGGAGGTCAGCGCTATGTCAAAAGAACCGACTACTTGGAGGCACTTCCGTTCCATGCAGTACTTTGAAATTAAAAAAATTGAGAAGCTTCTTACGGGGTCACTTTTTAGTTCCGCTTTACTGAATTGTAATATATTAGTCACAGTCGGAATCAAGAGATCAGGGTGTTTCAAAAAATTCAAGGGGATTCTGCCTCTTACTTTTGGAAAGCTATGTCAAAAATTCAAACTCTCAAATTCCTTTGCGGGTTCATGATGACTTGACGGCCTAACATGGCCGCCGAACCCCTCGCGAGAAATTCCACAGAAAGGGATATCAGCACGGAAAACTCTCAAGTGCTGTTGGACAGCTAATTTTATGAGAAACGCGGAGTAAGAAAAGTAGAAAGGATACTGTACAACTTCAGTACTACTTCTCATTTAGCATTTGCTCATGAAGCGAAGGATTAAAGGGACTAAACACACGTGATCAATAAGATCCTCACAGGATTCACATCTTCTCTTGTTTATATAATCGGCTCCATTGTTTAACGAACATTTAT